CATCGTTTACAAGCGGATTAGAACAATCTGCATCGCGATCCACAATTCGTGTGATGTCCGTGAACACGACACTGATCTGAACTAGTAAAGCGATCCATCCACCGCCAACCAAACCGGAACAGATGGCAGCCACGAACAATGCGATTGTCACAGACAGATCAAACAGAACCATGAAAGCTATGGGAACATTGGCGAAAATGATGCGATTTGCGCAGTGTTACACTTGCAACAGTTATTTGAAAATTATCCAACAATTAATCCTTATCTCCTCTCAATTCCTTAAATTGAAAAAAAACAAGGATGTGAAAAGGGAAAAAGAACTTTATTTGTAACACGTTTACACAAACCTGAAGGAGGAAACTACTAGTTTGGTTAGTGAATACAAAATCAATGTAATTCGCAGTGAATAGGATAAGAAATGCACGTTTTCCAAATGCATTGTCAGGAATTTGTGCGTCTAACTTGATTAGTAGATGGGTCGAACTAAATTTACACATACCCTCAGATGGTCAAATGTATGTGATCCACACGTGAAGAGAAGGACTAACTCACCAATTGTGCCGAATCGAAGTGCTTGACCAAGAAGAACCAACGCAATCGTCACTGATCGTCCGTATCGATCGGATATCACTCCCATTAGCACCGATGAGAATACACCGAGAACAAGTGAAGCCATAGTGGTGAAGGCCAACAATTGGGTGGTTGCCGACTGCACTTCATCTCTTTTCGTTTTACTAGAATCGTTATCATTGTTTGGCCTGATAAAAGAATTAGAAAATAAATTAGGACTCCTAACGAATTGAATGTTTTCTTTTACTGAAATCACCTTCATTACATTAAAGTGAGATACAATAAAGCTAATTTTGCTGAACGCTGCCATGGTCTCACTGTGTACGAAGTGCGAATATCCAAGGAGGGTGGTTAGCAGGCCCGTTTCGACAAGGTAGGGGGTGAACTGTAAGGGTCAACACAAAATACGCAGCTCGGCTGTACTTATATACTTAATCAAGCACTTTAAAAATATGAGAAATAACAAGAACACCACTGCTGTCAGGTCGGTACCACGTCCCACAGTACATGCAACCAGCCGGTTACAAGGGTTTTAGTAATCTGGCGGGAGACATCCAATCTGGCTCATTACTGTAGTTTTCTACACCTCGTTTCGAGGTTGCCTGCTGACCTTCGCGTGTTTTCTTCTCTCCAGGAGACGTGATTGTAAACAGAACGAGATGGGACAGAGGAGCGCTAGCCAGGAGTAAAACATGCCCTAAACAGCGAAGCCTATCCATTCGAAATCGGTATGGTAAAACACTTTCCACCAAAATATTTTAAAACAAGGGACGACTTATTTCGGAGCTACAACCCGTTCGCTTTACCTTTACTGCGCCAAAGTATGCGAACATCGATTATCTTGTTTATTTCATGCAAAATCACAGTTACTGGAGCCTGCCTCTTGTTGTAATCACGCGATAACTATTTATTCATACAGAACGAACAATTCAAAAAGGCGAAAAGCACTGCACAGCCGCTCTTCAGAATGACGAACATTGCATATAACCGACGGAAAGATGAGCATTCAGTTCCACTTCAGCATGGAACAGATATTATCACCTTGCAGCTCACATCAGTGTCTACGGCGAGCTGTAAAGCGATGATCATAGAAACATTCAGTTTGCCCCGATCTGATCGTTATATCGCCAACAATAAACCCAATTCTGTGTGAAACTGCAATACCCTAACTAACTTCATCAGACCCAGAACAGCGAAAATCAGAAAACCACGAACAATAACTTCGTTCGGTCCTAAAAACGTCATCCAAGTTGCCGACATCATTGTGTTCGTCTCCACAACCGTTTAAGTTGAAATTAACTTTTTTAAAATGATGGGAAAAGACAACACCCAAGTCAAGAAAACGTGAACAGCTCCTGTTTCTGTTGTGATGAAGTTGAAACGTAACGAAAAAACAGGTTGCAACACAGTGTATGCCTCCATTTATTGTTTTATTACACAAAGTGATTCACAGCAAAAGAGTTAACTCCCATGATCTCTGATATACTGTAAGGAGGAAAGCATGTGGGGGAACATTTATGTGAGAATCAATTTGTGAATCCGGCTTTTGAAAAGTGCGATTATAAGGGCTTGGAAACACGGAAATGGGAAGAGTACTCCACCATTTAGCAAGCCCCGAGAAAAAGAAGACTGGATGATAGAAGTCGGACATCTGGAGACAGAAACCGACAAGGGTGAGTACCCACCTGATAAAGAGACGGACTAGAAAAGGTCAGTGGAAGAGGAACCGCTGAAGCGAGTTCAGAAGAGCGGAAACCAAAATCGTAACAATAGAAAAGATATAAAGAAGCAACTGCCCGGCGATGGGAAAGCGACTGCAGGTTCGCCGATCAGCCGGATGGCCTTACATTGAACAAGGTAGAGGAGAGAAAGAGCGGAATACAAAACTTCACCCCATACGTGACTGCAGTATTCGAGCGCCGCGCGGGTTTGAGTTTTGTATAAAAGGAGAGGGTGCTTGAATGTAAAGAAACGCTTTGCATGGAATAGAAAAAAACGACTTTACGTGCAGCGCGAGAGTGGAAATAGAAGGAGACCAACAGAGGGAACTTATGGGTAAATCTAGGAGGGAGATAGAATTTGTGGAACGAAGGAGCGATGAGTCAAAAATCAATTAGGCGAATAAGAGACAGGTTTAAGAGAGACGGAGAGGAGAGAACTTTTGGAAGCACTGAAACACACATGGCTGGTAGAACCGCAGGCGCATATGAGTCCGAGATTGGAGGCAGGACATATTGGTAGAGGTCTGAGGACTTGCGGGGTAA